ATTTTCGTTTCCCTCAGTTCTTCCCAATTCATCCATTTAATACTATGCTTTTCTTTCTTTATCCATTAAAAACACAAACAGGCAAATAAGCAAACTAACCAAACCACACACACACACACACACACACACACACACACACACACACACACACACACACACACACCTCACAAAACCACAGAATCTTATACAAGTAGAAGATCATAAGACAAAAAAAGTACCCAAAGTTGTATAAGACAGAATACAAAAATTACATTGAGTTCCTTTTGTGTTGGTCATGGGGGCTTATATCCAGTGATACTCCACTGAAGAAAATTATTGTTTTCCCTTCAAGTGTGTGTCAGTATCAGATATCTTCTTGTACAATTCCCCCTCTTAGTGTTGACATCTCATCTGGCTTGAACATATGCAGGCCTTATACATGTTGTGACAGTCTCTGTGAGTTCATATGTACATTAGTTCTGTTGTGTCTGGAGGACACCAAGTTCTTGAAGTCATCATTTATCCCCTTTGGTTTTTTGTTTGTTTCATTAATTTTTTAATTTAAATTAAATACAATCTTATTTTACATACCAATCCCAGTTCCCTCTCCCTCTAGTCCTCCCATGCCCCCAACTAACACCCCATACCACCACCCATCCACTTCTGAGGGAGGGTGAAGCCTCCCATGGGGGATCGTCAAAGTTTTTTATATCATTTGGTGCAGGACCTAGCTGCCCCCTGTATCTAGGCTGAGAGAGTATCCCTCCATAGGGAATGAGCTCCCAAAGTCTATTCATACTCTATGGATAAATACTGGTTCCATTGCCACAAGCCGCATAGACTGCCCAAGTCTCCCAACTGATACCCACGTTTAGGAGGTCTGATTGGGTCTTATGCAGGTTCCCCAGCTGTCAGACTCGAGTCAGTGAGCTCTCTCTTGCTGAAATCAGATGTTTCTATGGGTTTCCCCAGCATGGTCTTAACCCTTATAATCTCCTTTCCATGTAGATCCTTACCCTTGAGGGAACAAAGGAAGAATTTGATAGAGATATCCCATTTAGGACTGAGTACTCCATAGTCTCTCAATCTGTACATTGCCCAGTTGTGGGTATCAGTATTAGTTCTCACCTACAACTAGAGGAAGCTCCTCTGATGATGGCTGAATGAGGCAGTGATCTGTGAATATAGCAGGCTGTCATTAAGAGTCATTTTATTGCTATGTTGCTTTGGCAGAACAATAGTGTTTTATTTTCTCCTGGGCTCCTGACCAGGTTCTTGGCCACTTGAGCAGTATCAGGAATGGGTTCCATGTCATAGAATGTGCCTTAAATCCAATCAGATAATGAAGATGAGAAAAGGGCTTTTTAATATCCCTTCATCCCTTCTGAGACAAATATTTAAAAATACTGGCTTATCCTGTTAACCCCTACAGGACAAATATGGAATTCAAAACACTCCTATAAACACTTACAGGTCCCTTAATGGAGAACAATGGATCTCAAAACTAACAAGCTCCAAATACTTAGGGTCATATCTTGGTAATTACAAATATCTTAAGATTTATTTTTCTCAATGCAATTTCCTTTATTTGTAAACATTTAAATCCTACAATTGAGCTATAGTTCAAGTGATCCAAAAGGAAGGAAGGAAAAACATTTTGACAAGATGGAAATTCTAAAATCGAACTAGAAAAATGGAGCAAAAGAAAGAAGTAACAGGTGTCAGCTTTTCTTCTACACATTTCAAGACTGGAAAATGGAAAAGAAGCACTCTAGTTATTGTGAACATATGCTAAGGGAAACACAAAAGCCTGGCCAAGTTGTTCCACGAGTCTCACAATTGCAGAGAGAAATGTTCACTTGCTTGAAAATGGAATTCTAGGCTCCTCAGGTTTGAGCCAGCTTTTAGATGGTTGTCACTATTAGCCCTCGTGGTCATCTAGTCATTCCATCTTCTGGTAACATTCTAATTTACCTAAATCCAGGGTTTGGATTTGGTCTAGCTGTAAATTAAAAGAATGCTCCATGGCTCTGCAGCCTTGTTCAAAAGTTTATTTGCCCTTGCATTAAAGAAATAACTTGAGTTATTCTCAATGGATTCATTAGAAAACTGATTTTTCTACTTTATAGCTATTTTTCCTGGCAGATGGGATCTGGTATTCTTCTTATGCTACATTTTTTGAGCTAGGCATATATGGTGGAATAGCAATATACTCACCCATGAACAAAAAAGGCAACATTCATAGTGCAAAATAAGATTACATTATTTGGCATCTACTGTCCACATATGTTCATTTGGCAATGGCTTGTCCAAGCCAGTTATAGCCACAAGGGGAGTAGGTGTTTGAATTTTAAACAAGGAAGTCTGGATTTTCCTGGGATAGAAAGAGCCTCCTGATGGGTGGATCAGTCTCTAACTCATTTTGAATGCAGCAGCCAACTTCATAAATCATGTTTCCCTCCCATTGCACAATAACTTCAGTGCAGTTGAAGTCCCCTGGAAAGTTTCTTTATACTAAATGAATCTTTAAGGACAAATGTCTTCACCATGCAGAGAATTCGGATAAATAAAGCATGAAAAAACAGCATGGTAATATGGCAAGTTCAGCATTTAAGCCCTGTGTGGTTGGAGGTCAGATGGAGGAATGGTTCAACACACAGCATACAGGCAGAAAGGACACAGAGGAGAAGGGGGTCTCCACTATGAAAAGCCACTACCTGACATTTTCAGCGAGGTACCTCTGTTTCATATTTGTAAAAATTGAGAAATAGCATATAGCACTCCTCCAGACATGGAAAAATGAAATATTTGCTTTGTCATACCATAAATCTATAAACATGGATTTGAAGCTAACTGGACAATTAACAGGCACAAAGTCTGTCTGCAAATACTGTAGAGGAGCTAAGAATCTAAATGCAGATTATCAAGAACAGAATGCACCATTGTATCCATTTCATTGAGACTGTTGGTGATTTGGCTGGTGACTGGCAGAGAACAGATCACACACACAAAGTCTATGAATCACCACTTAATCTATACTTAGGGTCATTTAATCAGTATTCATAGATGTGTCAAAAACACCCCCAAACAAGAAGCTCACAGGCCAATATTTTTATGCACTAAAAATAATGTTGAGTAAAAATGTGACTATTCATGTGTTTGATATGCAGTATTAAATACTTGAGGTATGGTTCCATTTTAATATAGATTTAGCAAAAAAAAAAAAACTGGAGAGATGGTTCAGTGGTTTAGAGACCTTTCTGCTCTTCCAGAGTATGTAGGCTTGGTTATCATCCTCCACACCTAATGGCTCACAACTACCTGTAACTACAGTTCCAGGGGTTCTAACACCATCTTCTGACCTCCTCAGATACCTTCACACATGTTGTGTACACACACACACACACACACACACACACACACACCAAAATTAAAAAACTTCAAATATTTAAAAAAAGTGTATTTCTGAAGTCATGTAGCTAGAGATCTTAATGCCATGTGATGGTGTTTTAGAATTGCATACACACTGTGGCAGGGGATTGGCATCTGAGTCAGGATCCTGAACTTTGCTCTACTCAATGACAACATGACATCATCAAACTATTAAATTCCTTGTGCTCAACCTAATCATCTGTTACAAAGGAAAATTCGATTCCCACTCACATCGGCCCAATAGTTATTGAGAAGACTAACTAACTTAAAATGTTTGCATGTTTTATTAGGTGGTACATGGTACGTACTAAGTCAGTTATTGTATCACAAAGATAAACATTACAATCAGCAGTAGAAAGAAGATCAGTAAAAAAAAAATCTATATGCTTAAGCCAGCAGACTCAATGTAATATGCTAGGTGAAATGATGATTAAAAGGATAATATTAACACAATATAATACTTAGTGCCTAAGTTTAGTGCTTAGGTTTTTACACCTTTACTGTGAATTAAAAAAATAAAAGTTTTTTCTTATGGTTTATAAGGAAAGGGAAGAGAAGGAAAATCAAAATATGTAAAACATTGCATAGAAGCTTGTGCAAAAGTTCATGCCAACATAGATTTAGATGAGGTGGGGGAGGGAAACAAATCCCAAATATTAAGTGTTTATAACAAATGAATCCAAAGAGCAGCAGTCAAACATTTAAGGTAGATATTATTCAATCTTATTATTATAACATGTACCATTATTCTGATATCAAGCAATTCATCTGTAAATTAATACTTGAATTATGTTTGTGACTAATATTATTACACATTGTTACAGTAAAAATATCATGGGCACATTCAGTACAAATGAGAATCATTTTTATAATGGTGGGTTTGTTTCAGAAACAATATGCATAGATGCATATTTTCTATTTTCCAAAATTATAGATACCCACAGCTAAACACTGAACTGAACTCCTGGAACCTAGTGACAGAGATGGAGGAGTGATGAGCAAAGGGGTCAAGACCATTATGGTGAAACCCACAAAGACAGCTGACTGGATAAAGGGGAGTTCTTGAATCTCAGACTGATGCCTGAGAGGCCAACAAGGAACTGATCCACACTCCATGAATGTAGTCTCAGTGAGGAGGCCATAGATATCACTGGGGCTTTGGGTAGTAGATCAGTGTTTACCATAGTTTGTGAATGATCTTTGGGAGCCCATTCCAAATAGAGGACTTCTCTCTCAGCCTGGACACATGGAGAAGGGCGTAGGTCCTGCCCTGGATGAAATGACAGACTTTAGAGATCCCCCCAAGGAGGGCCTCACCCTCCTTGAGCAATGATGAGGGGATTGGGTGGGGGGCTGGGGAGCTAGTGGAGGGACAAGGGAGGAGGGATGGGAGAGGGAGCTGGGATTGACATGTGAAGCATTCATGTTTCTAATTTAAATTAAAATATTACAAAAAATCAAGGTACAAAAAATTATAGATTCATATACTGAAATATAGTTCCCATATTTACCCTTTGATCAATAACTTATAAAATAGATTATGGAGGAAGAGTCTTGAAATGATAGAATAACACACTGAAAACTTGGGGTAAAGGCCTTATTACTTTATTGATTTTTTTTGGACAATCTTCACTTAAGTTTGCATTTGTTTAAATGCTTCTCATTAAATAGTCTCACTAACAAACTTTTCCTCAAAATTCAATGCCCAGTAACTCTACAGTCCAACATGGTCTAAGTATCATAAAATATGTTAATAGAATTCCTCAGCAAGGTAATGGTGCATACTCAATGTGATATTGGGTTGTTGATTTCTATGATTGTTTATACAATGTTTATAATTTCTGTATTAAATGCGCACAATGAAGTTGCAGCTTATTTAAGTGGTACTAATCCCAACTGATACAAAATTAAGTATTCCAGTTTTTTACATTTCTGATGAAGCATCAGGAAGTGCAGATAGGCTACCTCTTGATCAAGCTTGGAAGCACATCTTTCAAAGTGTACATGCATCTGGAGCATGCATTTCTATTGATTTTGAATTTTCTTTACTAAATCTTTGTTGAATAGAGGAAACACTGGATAGCATGCATGGTTACTCATATTTCTACAGAATAGGTTCATAAACACTCTCTGTGGTTTCCATTACAAATTCCTTCACACTAATGGGAAAATGATAAACTTGATATAGTTTTCCTTATGGCTAGAAACAGGGTATCAGCCAATAATGTTTCTCAAGGAGTCCGTTGACACTTATGTAATAACTTCAAAGAAAAACTCGTTTCTGTAGTATTAATCTGTGACTTACCTTTCTCATTCATTACAGAAACTGATAGCTGAGAGAAATTTAGCTATTATTATAATATGTTGATGAAAGGGTCTTTCTTCTAAGATAGGGTTTCACACTATGCCTGCCTATGGTGGCTTTGAAGCCTCAGTGACACTTTCGCCTGAGTTTCCAACACATTGGGATATGATGCAATAATATGCATGGTGGGTAAAATGCTGGTCTACCCATAATCTCCAAAAGAGTTTTTAAAATTCAAAGCTTGGATAATATACACCAAAGAATCTTTAAATGATTACAATTCAAATTATAATCATGTGACCACAAACTTTTCACTAAGTTCAGCTTCTGTCTGTCACTCTCAAATACAGTGTGGGTATCTATGCTAGTGACTGCAAATGTGTTATTCAGTGCAGTTCTGTAATGTAAAGTGCACTGTCCGTCTACCAACAGTCTGTTGAAAGGAATCTGCCAGAGGACCTGAGATGGAAGATGGAAGGTTTCAGTTCTTTAGCCTTCTCCTTGAAGGGTTCATCTATGAACTTGAATTTATCTGTCTGGAAAAGAAAAGGAAAAATCTGTGAGGATTTAGGATTCTTCACCTTCCCCTTTCTGTGAGCACAGCTTCTGGGAGTCTCTGCTCTGTCTGGGTAAACATATATTGTTGACCTAACACAATCATGTAAAGGACCCAATGCTGCAGACCCATGCAAATGGGAAAACCTTCTCCACAGGATGCACCTCAAAGGGATGGCAAACCCTTCCTCTGTACACATACTGACAATGTGTACAAGGAGGAGTTTCAACTAAAGATTGACCAGTGTGTTTACAGTCTGAGAGCCCTCCTACAAAGTCTGACGAACTCCTCCCCATGTACTGTCCACAACAAAGTGATGAGGATGCCACTGTCAGAGTGTGTACGTCCATGAGACCCCACATTTTTTTACAAGTGTCTGTGTGTCTGTTCTCTCTGCATTCCCTTGTCTCCCCAGTCAGGTTCCCAGTATCAAGCCATGCAGTAAATGACACTGCTTGTTGTTACACCTTGCTTTTATTTGGCTCTCTTCCATTATATAAAAACCATAAATTATTGTATTGGACCCTGATTATGCAGAAATCGATATTTTATTTAATTTTAATTTATTCATTTTTAAATTTGAATATATGTGCATAAAATTAGATAGTACTACATGTTTCTGTAAGAAAGGTGTTTGTGAATACAGAATTCTACAGATATCTTTGCTATAATTTATGGCATTTTAACAAAAGATATCTATCACTTATACTAAAGATAATTCTCTAGCATTCACTAACACCAACATTAATACATTTGTGCATGAATGTGCATTTTGTACATGTGTTCCATGTGTATACATGCCTTTCTTTCTCTCCTCACCTCCCTCCCGTGTGTGTGTGTGTGTGTGTGTGAGTGTGTGTGTGTGTGTGTGTGCATGCGCGCGCAAGCGCCTGTTGTGTCTTCACGACTTTGGCAAAATTATTGTTTAATATTCTGCTAAATAAAGATGATGTTTTCAAGAGCAGAAAAAAGTCCATTACATAGTAATGCATAGGTCATATCAGTCTACTGAGATATTTAGCATAATATTTTTCTGAATTTTTAAATAATTCCTTTCAGTTTTTTCGAAATACAACTAGTGAAATTACTATAAAATACACATATATTAGCATAGTCTTATGTTTTGTAATAATTTTTTCTGATACCTACTACTATATAGTTTTATGGTAATCTATTTAAGCACAGTTATTTTGTTTCATAGATTCCTATCTTAAATAGTTTGAAAACGCTCAATTTCTCCAATTAACCATAAAAACAAGAATAGTAAATTTTTATAAAAATTGATCTCACCAGTTTGTTCTGTGTTTATTAAGTCCCACTTGGAGAAGTCCTTGTTGTCTTTCAGGACTATGTGGGGAACTCTTTGGGTCCTCCTTACGGCTGGCTCAGGCAGTTCCTCCACACAATACAGACAGTCTTAACAGGGACCAGAGAGATGGCCAGGTGGTTAAGAGCACCTTTGCTCTTGTAGAGGGCCTGGGTTTGATTCCCAATTCCAGGGAATCCAACACCCTTTTCTGGGCTCCACGGGCACTGCATTAAAAAGTTCTCCACAGATGTATGTGAAAATGAAACACACATAGCCCATAAAATAAGTATAAATAGATTTTTTTTATTTTAGTGTGAGCAGAGTATCCAGGTCAATAGTGTTCTGAGGCCTCACTCACTTAAAATTTACCTTCATTTACTGAAGAGATAAATCTCTCTTAGGTTCGTTCTCTCTGTCTCTCTCTCTCTGTCTCTCTGTCTCTCTTTCTCTCAATCTCTCTCTCTCTGTGTATGTGTGTGTGTGTGTGTGTGTGTGTGTGTGTTTCTGTGTGTGTCATTCCTTCCAGTCTTCTTCTCTTTTTTCTTCCTCTCTTTGCAGGCTCTCACAGCATACTCCAAACTAGCATCATGGTCATGGTCTTCTTGCCTCAGTATCCTCAGCACTGGTTAGTAGAAGGATCCCACTATTTTTTTAAAAACGATTTTGAGAATTACCTTGAAATAAGACAAGATTTTTGAAACATGTCCAAAATCACATTTCCTACACGTAGGGCTCAGAGACCATCACAGAAGAAGGGGCAGAAAGATTGAAGAGCCCAAAACTTGGATCACTGTCACTGCATATTAGTGTGTTTTGGATAGGACAAAGGTCTGTTCCTGGGAAATCTCAACAGCATGACTGCCTGAAAAGGATCTGCAAAATACTACACCAGTCTAACATGACAACATGGATGGAGGAAAATTTCAAGGTGTTCTACCCCTAGAGGTGAAGCTACAGGTGGTCAATGACTATTGAGGCAGGTAGAGCCAGTTTGGGTTTTGTTTCCTTTTAGGGACAAGAACTCAATCCTAAGTGGTAAATACTAACTGATTAGTAAGCAAATATAGAAAAGGTGGCTGTGAATATGAAGGTCACACAACAGGAGTTGGGGGAGGTGACAATGATGCAAATGCAGTGACTCCCAATACCTCCAACACTGGGGAACACATACATCCACCAAAAGAGTGGCTTAGGTACTGAATACTGAAATGACAAAGCCCTTGTCATGATGCAGCAATGTCTTTGTTCTTACTCTTGGCTACCACATTGGAGTAATTACAAACTTGCAGGTGCAAAGAGTTTATACACGTTTATTTAAATCTGGAGTATTTCGTTAGTTTTCTTTTTTCAGAAAAACATCTAAATTCCTCTAGAAGACCTAAGAAGAACATTGAGTGTTTGATTTTAGTTTATGTTGAATGTATCTGAGTCAGCAAAGTGTGCATTAATGTAGAAAATGGAGAAATTCATGGGAAAGACAGAATACTGAGCTATAAAAGCATTGATTGTGTCCAGAGCTGACTGCATAACTTAGGCTCTCTGAAATCATTCCTCATGGTATATGTCCATTTCCTGTCCATAGTCTATGAGGGCAGGAAACATATCCATATCATTCATTATTTCTATGCCTAAAGCAGTGCCTAGTGTGTCAAGCATTCAGTAAAGATTAAACAAAATGTTGATAAAATTCAAGATATTATTAAAATGCAGAAAACTACTCTTCTGGTAAAGATTACAAAGTAACAATAAGTGAGTCATTCTTCAGTCAGAAATAAATTGAATGGCCACCAATTAACATTTAGCTATGTAATTATCAATCAGTAATATCCCAGTATTTCCTAAGTCTTTTCCAAATATCATGGACAGAATTTTATTCATAAGCCAAATGATGTGTATTTCAATAGGCCCAGGTTGTCAGAACTTAAGCATATATCCAGTATTTCATTTCCATCTTTTTGTCTACGGGACTGTTGTAGAAATAGAAATTTTGTCATCAAATCTGAGTAATAAAAACTGTATTCCATATCTGTTCTTGCATTCCTCCAAGGTAGGGATACTTTTATATAAGTTCCTTTTTAAATTTATAAAAGTTTCATCTATTTATATGCACATGTGTATGTGTGTGTGAGAGAATGTGTATGTGTGTGGATTGTGAATGCCATGAAACACTTGTGACCATCAGAAGACAACTCTCAGACTTGTTTTGCTCCTTTTACCAGGAGTTCCTGGAACTGAACTCAGGGCACCAGGCTAGGTGGCAAGCATCTTCCCCTGGTACTTACAAGACCTAATACACAATCTTCTATACAGACATTAAATAGAAAATAATTCTTCAAAAGTCAGTCTGTTATTATATTTGAATTGAAATGTTTTAAAATCTGAGCATTCGCCTATGACATTAAAATGAGAAACAGGTTAACTATTCCATAAAATATTGTCCTAAGATTTAGTAATGAGAGAACATGGTCAAAGTCTGGAAGACTGTAAGAAGAGGTGCACTGGGGCTGGAGAGAAGGTGCAGTGTTTGAGTGTTTACTGCTCTTTGAGAAGACCTGAGTTAGGTTTCCAGCACCTCCATCAGGCAGACATCAACTAGCTATAACAATAGTTCAAGGGACAGCCAAATGCCTCCAGCCTCCTGGGAATCTGCACTCACCCAGCCACACATAAACAAAATCAAAACTAATTTAGAAAAAGAGGCAGCATCTACCCCTTTTAGGCATATAGGTTAAACTTCTGCTATTTGTGTTGGAACCCTTTTACTCAGAAATACTGGAATGTCAAGAGAAAAGCAGAACACAGTTTCCACATGATTAGCTAAAATGGGAAAATTTTGGAATCTCTTTGAAACCTATTTTAAAAGCTCGGCTCTGTGCTTTTTTCCTTTTCCTATTGCAGAGCCATGAAGTGTTATTTCAACCAGATTGCAAACGTAACTTCTAGAGTGTGGACGCTTGCTATAATTTGTTCACTTCATCAAAATGTTCCTTTAAATTCTGGCTACATCTGTATTACTGCGTCCTGAAGCAACTGAGGTGAAGGAGGCCCAGAAGAGGCCAAACCTCCTTCCTATTTCTAACAAAGGAAATGCCTTCCTGCCACTAAGTTTTGGAATGATTTCCAAGTTCTTTAAAAATAATTTAACCTGTGTCAAATAGCTGTCTATTCTGGAAACTCAATAAATGAATGTAAAAGTCAGAGGAGTGCGGGGAAAGTTAGGCGTTGCACTGAAATGGTATAGCACAGGCATGTTGATGGAGACACTAAATTAGTGAACACATGTCCATACCTCTGCCTACTTCTCTTTAAACTCGAGCTATATTATTGTAGAAAAGCATAATAATCCCCACTCCGATCTTGCATTTCAAATGAAAAAGCCTGAAACATTACAGCAAGGCACTTTTGTAAAGAAGTTAAATACTTTGGGTGGATATATTTCCTTTGAGGAACAGCATTTCTGTATTCAAAGGACAGGTTATATGGTGAAGAAAAACAGGAGGTGGTATACATAAATATTCCAACAAGGATCTAATTTTACATTGAACCTTAGCTTAAGGAGGACATGTCTATTAAATTATAGGTCCCTTTTAACAATAGCTAGATTCTTTATAGCATCGTCGAAATTACAACTTGATAGCCAAATAAATCACAATTCTTTTGAACTATATAGA